CTCTTTCTCTTCATCTCCCTCATTCGCTTTGTAATATGCTGTTGGATGTGTGTCATGGGTGCAAAGTATTATTTGTTGAGCATAATCAGGAAGAAATTATTTAATGTCATTTTTTCCCCCGTTCCTCTCGATTTCCTTTGCGACCGAAACACCATTGCATAAGAATTATTTTCGTATTTTTTTGTTTCCTGGTATTTATTTGTGATGTTCCAACATCATTTGCTGTTTTGCAAATACTCTTTTTCTCTCCCGCTTGCTCTCACGCTCACGATCACGCTCTCTCTCTCTCTCTCTCATTTACTCTCGTCGGCATCAAAGTTGAGTGCAAAATGCTAATTATCTAGCATGCGACCACAAAACAACTTTTGTATCCACAACTTATCAACTACCGTCACAAAACCAAAACCATGCTTTCGAATTTTACCTTTTTACCATTTTAATTTGCAAAAAGCTTGTGTCTTGCCGTGCTGTGTGATTGAATCGTGGCAGAGCAAGAAAAAGAAGAACGATACGATGACTAAGTCCAACAAGCTTCAAAAGAGAAACAGAGAGCTGACTTAGATGTAAAGAATGGAGGAGAAAACGTTGCTGCTGCTGCTTCTGCTACAGTTATTTCTCTTGAAATGCTCACTTTGTTGGAACGAATTTGTTTTGAATTTTCGTTTCACTTGAAATTCTTATCAGTTTTGGTGAAGCAAAATTAGCCCATGAAAATTAGCGGTCGGTTGACAAAGCTTCATCGTTGTCGTTTGTGAGTTTCAGCATTCACTCACAAGAAATTAATGCTGAAAATGACTTTTTCCATTTACTTAAACTTCGCCCAAATTCGATTATGAGTGCAAACTTGAATGGTTTTGCCGTGTATAGAAACAAAGGTGTCACCAACTAAAAAACTCGTTTGTTGCTTGGATAGCGACCGAGTGAGAGAGAGAGAGAAATGTAACAAAAAACAGCCAGCATAACAAAATAGGGAGAAAGTGAAAATGCTCCTGAGAGCCCGACTCATTTCTCGGAAGAGTTATGCTTGGCCCTGTGTCGATAGATGTGATTTAGCACGGGTGTTTAATAATGAAACACACCAAAAGAATGCCAACCATAACCTGAGAACGGAACTGAAGAGAGCATTGAAGTGGTTCATTGGATTGGGATGAGTATGAGAAAAAGAGACGATGGCAGCGAATCATTGCATTGATAAAAGGCGTATGCAGAACTTTATTAAATCGTTAATATTGATGGTTTTCCTTTAGTCGAAAAGTTTCCGGTTGGTGGTAAATTTGAAAAGTTCGACGCATGGTTTTTGTCAAAACAAATAGTACAATAATAATCAATCTATATTCTGTGTGTGTGCAGATGATTGCTAAATAACATTATGATGCTCGCATATAAAGTGAGAGCGTGATCGAAGGAGCGAGCAAGTGAATGAGACAAAAATTTGTTTGTGTGCGTGTGTGGAGTGAAAGTGAACGGGCGTATTTATTCAGATTGGCATCGAATTAAAATATGCGCTCGTTGTCGTTTTGCCACTCGTGTGTACGTCAATGTGTGTGTATGTATGTATATTTGCCATGCTTTCAATATTACAAGTTTGGCTCTGGCAATTCAATGCTATTGCTTTGCCGCTATTTGGATGTGGGATACACAAAAGAGTTTAATTTTTCTGCGAGCAACTTCGCATTCTCATTTCGACACTGGCAATCGATAAAATTTTACGAGATATTATTATCGGCACATACATTTTGCACACATCAACTATCAATATCATTATCGACATATCGTCGTGTGTGGTGTGACGATACATCGTCATCGTTCGACAGAACGATATGGCTATGAAAAAGGCAGAGAGAATGCTTTTGCTATGTCCATTGGCACCGCAACACACATCGCATCGAAAAGTGAATGAATGAACGAACGAACGACGGGACGATGAAAGGCAAATGCTCTGGGTATCATGTGCAAAAGAAATCATTGATGCGCTTAAACGAAGCAAACAATGCCAAATATCAAAAATATCACATAGTGTATGTGACACACACGCGCTCATATACATACACATAGCTACAGCATCCATTAAAGCAAAATGAAGAGGTTCGATTTTGAATTTAGCATTATTATTATCATCATCGTCGTCGTCGTCGTCGACGTCGGAATATTGATATTAAATATGTCGTTGATTTGATGGGAGCATTTTGTGATGCGGGTGGTTTGGCGGTTTAGGTGGTTGAGCAGTGGTGGCTGTGGTGAAAAATAGATGGATGCGTCGATTCCATCAAGCCCTGTCATTTCTGCACTCTAAAAGTGAATCCGATTAAATTCTATATTATTAATGGAGTTTGGAAAAAAGCTTTGAGGCACTCACTCGCACACATTTATACATACACATACGCACATCCACACACACACACATTGACCCGCTCTCTCATCGGCGCAATAACTGGAAGCCAATAACCATAAGCATGATGGAGCAATGAAGGAGAGAGATGTATATATACAGAGAACTAGAGTGAATACAATTTAGCATGTGCAACATAGCGTTTCAGTTGAATTTAGTCGAATTAGATGAAAACTAAAATTGGTTAAAAGGCAATAAAGAGAGTTGCTGCGCAACCATCAAATATTAAGAGTTGCTTGATATTCCATGCACATCGATGCGTTTCGCATATTTTCCTCATTTAAAACCAAATTGAATCGTCACAAGGGATTTGAAAAGTCCAAAAAAAAAAACTTTTTAGCCGAATTACGATAAAACTGAAGAGCTTTGCAAAAGTATTCACGTAGGAGAGCGGAACAGAGTTAGCCGAAGTTAGAGAGTGAGTGAAATGATGCACAGCAAAATCTACCTCTCATCACAATTCCTAATTCCGATTGGCACACACAAATACACAAATACAGTTTGTATAATATATATATATACAAACGCACAACTTTCCATACAATAATTACGAGAAGATATTAACAAAACATTAGAATCCTTGAATCATCAAACCTTGGAATAATCGCAGAGCATTCAATTCATTGCCGGTTTGTAGCCAACCAATTTCAATTCATCCGTCCCTTCAAAGGTTAAGATTAGCAAATTGAATTCAATCTTTATATACCCGGCAAAGGAAAAGGCCAACACTGCTGCTCACACACACACACACACACAGCACCATCATCACCATCGACAACAACAAGAAATACACACCGGCCAAAAAGCAAAGAAAACGAGAGAAACTTTTGAAATATTTATGTATGATGTGAATAATTGATTCATAACCAGTCTAACTTTTCCCTTCTGCCCCGTAAAATTGCTAAAACGAAAATCAACAATGGTAATTCGTTCGCCATTCCTCTCTTTGTCGCCCACTCCCTGGGAGATGAAGAGAGAGAGAGAGAGAGTGAGCGAGTGAGCGATTATTTGCGCGCACCCATTCGCTCATTCACTCACTAGGCCAACGGGGTTGTTATGGACTTTATTACTTGTCGAGGAAATACCATACAATACCGTTCATCGAAGAGTTAGAGAACAAGAAACAACGAACAAGTTGGTGTATGCGATCCATTGGACAGCGGTTTGTCGTGTGCTTGTCCACTACAGCACCAACGAACAACAGCAAACGATACTACGTCTCTAGCATTTGCACACACACACACACACACACTTTACACATGCAAAAGTTGTCTGACATATAGCACACCAACTGTCAATGATATCATTGGCAACTGTTGTTCTACACTTGCTGCCAATGGCTTTTTATTAAAAAATATATATTAAGTTCGATATTTATTAGATGTATGAAACGAAATTTATGATGTAGGACAATGCAATTTTGTGTAATCGAACGGGAACGATACACACTCAGTCACAGTGTTAGAAGGAAAAAACGTAGAAAAAAATTACAAAATATTCAGCTCTATTTGTCGACATAACATGCAGACATTTCACTCCCTCTCTGCCTCTCTCTCTGTCCCTTGCTTTCTCGAAGAATATATTAGTTGATTAGGAGTGTAGTGTGTGCGTTTCCGTGCGAAATATTCCGGCGTATTTGCCATTGTTTCATTTTGCCAGCGATAAACACACACATATATATACATGCCCGATAACAGGGAATGAGGGACAACAGTAGCTGCAAACTTCAAGAAAGAGCAAATTGTGCGAAAATTGCATGACATAAATTTGCCGGATGACAAAACAAACGAAGCAAACACAAGACTATACGCTATTCCACTGCTGCTGCTGCTGCACTCGATGTTATGGATATATTCTCATTCAATTTTTTTTTATTATTGTTCTAGTTCAAAGTTTAAATAATGTGCTAAAAATTTAACGACATTTGTTCGATCCCATTTGCTGTGTTTTTATCATTGGCCAAACTATACATATATATATAATTTTTGCCAGCGATATTTTTCGACAGTCGATATAGCAGATGTTATTTCATAAAACTACTTTTTTCTGTGTTCGGTGCTCTGCTTTTGCATCGCATATGACTACAACAATGCAACAACGAAGATGGTTTTTGAAGCGATGCGAACAATGTGGTGAAGAGAGAGGGACAAATTTAAGTGTCATGTTCAATTTTTTTTTCTCTCCATTTCTCTCTCTCTCTCTTCGAGTAATTGTTTACAAAAGAGTAGAATTTGGGGGAATTTATTTGTATTTTTCCTTCTTCTTCTTCAGAGAAATCAAAATGACGAAAAAGAGAAAAAAGCACATGGTAAAAAATTAGTTGTTGCTCTGCAGTCATTATTCAATTGTCGTATTACGAGAATGATGTAAAGCATGCAAAAATGCATTTACCATTTGAATGCGCCCGTTCGCAAAACTTGAAATTGCATTTGCATTTACATTTACATTCGCATTTATTTATCAATGGCATTTTTGCATTTGCATATGTTTGTTTGCGCTCCGATTTACTGGTTTTCTTAATTCACTTTCTATTTCATTTTTCCATCTCTTCCTTCGGTTGTGATTCTCCATCGCTTACCATCGTTCCCATATCCCCGCTGGACAATAACAGATTTCGACCGATGGTAATGTCACGCAATCCGTATTAAGTTTCACTCCGACCATCGATGACCGAGGAAAGTATTTGTCATGCCGTGCTGAACATACATCGATACCCGATTCAGGCACTGAGGATGGCTGGAAATTGGACATTTATCGTAAGTACAAAACACACAATAATTCTCAATATTTAGCTCGACGTAACGACACGAACCACTGTGTGCATGTGTATGTCCAAATGCAAATATGTACGTATACACACACACACACCGAGTGAGAACCATCATCAACTATTTTAAATGGACTTTATGTTAGAATGAACGAACGACGGCAGACAGAACAGAAAAAAGAAACTAAATAAAATATATTCATCTCAGTCAGTCGCCTTTAACATTGTACAGTTTAAGTTATTTCAATTGTTCGAGACGTGCGAATCATACGATGCATTTCATTGGCTGCTTGAAATCGAAATCGCTCGTTTTTGTCGCCACTTATTTTATTTATTATTTCTTTTCCCAGTGTAACTTCTTTTCTTTGAGTGATTTTTTGTTCTCTTTCGCTTTCGAGGAGCCTCTTTGGTACTCTCCTAAGCACTTGATCGAAAGAAAATATTCTTTGCGCATTTGTGTGCGTGTATTTGTGGTTTATACTAAATTTTATAAATAATGTACTGGAAAATTCACAAGGAAATAAATATAAAAACGGACGACTTGAGAATAACTTCGATCTGGATTTGCATTTATTGGCGAATGCATATTTGCTATGTGTAAAGTGAGACAGAGAAGGAGAAAAAAAAATCAAATTTCCAATTTCCGAACATTCAATGATTTTCGTAGCGAACGGTTTTTTTTTTCCTTTGTCCCACTCCAATTTTTGTCGCACACAATTTTTGCCGCTTTCCATTTGTTAAATATTGCGCCATCTATTTCCGTTTATAAAGCCACTTTCGCCTGGAGTTCATCTCTCACTCGCTCATTGCCAAAGGAAGTAAAAAAAAAACATCGAAATAAAATTGAAATGAAAATAAATAAGTCAGTTATAAAGTTTTGATTGCGTCACACACATACTTTTAGACTATCTTTATTTACGACTCTCCGGTCGATTCGACTATCGCTATCGGTTTGCTCATAGTTTTGGGTGTGCTGTGTGTACTTTTTTCAGCTTCGATCAGTCGGTCGGTCGTTCGTTCGCTTGTACTCCTCAGACCAATGCCAAAATGAAAATATTGAATTGTGCACTCTACATTTTTGGTGGTTTCAATTACGACGCTTGCAAGCGACCGACCAACTAACCAAAAAAAAAAAATGAGAACCGAACCATTGTCGCCTACTTATTTATATCCCTTTTGTGTGTATTCTCAATATTTCGTTCGTGGCATTTCCCATTTCACGAATCTAGAACAATGGCTGGCGAGTGTGAGAGAGACAGAAACACATAGAGACATGCAGAGAGATAGGAAGAGAAAGTCAAGTGAGTGGCGTTTTTTGTGTGTCCGTTTTGTTTGCCATTTCTAATTTGGCAAAAGCATCAATGAGCGGATTTTAATTGGAATTTCCGAATAAATATTCCATAGTCAAATTCAGGAATTTAAATTGTACGAATTTTTATTTTTGTCGTTGTTGTGTTGCCCAGGCCCCCGTTGTTGATATTGCTACCAACATTAGTTGGTGTGACATGAAATAATGGCATTCGACATTCAGCCGGCGGAACAAAGACAGCCAGCGAGTGAGTTGAGAGGAGAAGCAAGAAAAAAAAAATGAAAAACAAGAACAACGAATAAATATGCCTAACACCCCATGATATCTTCTCTGTACGAATATTCTTTGTATCGGTATGAGATGAGCTTTTGTACTTGTATATATCAGTGGTAGATGAAAAGTACGATGGATTCCAATGTGCTTAATCAGTTCCTGTGGTTAAGCTCAAGATAAATTCCGCCTTGCAGCTGTGAACCAGCCGAAACCAAACCAAACCAAACCAAAGAAAATGAATGAAAATAAAAATAAAAATTGCTCGCTAATTTGAAGGAAAAAATAAAGGCTGCTGCTACTGCTGCTGCTCATCACCACCGCGCGCACATTTCAACCGAATGGAAAACCCTCACAAAATAAATTATCATTACAGAAGTAATTTTTTCCGTTCGTTTTGGCGCGCCGCATAACACTTTATCTTTTGAAACTACGATTTTGTGTAGCGGGCGAAAAGAATGTATAATACGAATGGTGGCACAATGATGATGGTGATGGCGGGGTGACGGCATGTCGACAAGTGGGAATGAGGGTACAGTGCATACATCCAATACGGCGGCAAGAAATATTATTTGTGCCCTGTGTAACACGATGGTCTTGTCACACCATATTCAAACTAAATTAGCTCGAAAAGCTCATGTAATCCTCGTAATAAGTTTGTTTGTTTGGGTCGTTCTCTCTATGATTCATGTTTTGCAAATGTATGTGTGTTTGTGCGTGTCTCTGTCGTTCTCTCAGTTTGCACTCGCAACAAACAAAATCTTTCGAAACCATAGCAAAAACGATAGACTCAGCAAATGGCAACGGGCGACAGTAGAAGAAGACAACAGAGACGAAGAGAAATACACGCCAAACAACTTTGCACCCAATTCAAAATTAATCTTGCCAATTTTCTTGATTCTCCACGACGACCCGCGCGATATGCTATTCACACACACACACACACACACACACAAACACAAACAGAGGAGAGAAAAAAAGCTCCTATATGTATCAATAAAGCGGCGGCTACCACACGCAGTGACAAAAGTAAGACAATAACAGCAACAACAACAGCAACTACGGCCGAACAGAAAGGGAGATGACGCAAGAAGTATTCTTGTGCACAAATGTACATGTTTTACAATCTCAAAATGAGTATGACAAAAAAGGGAAGAAGGAGAAGAGGGAAGTCTTTGAGAAATAAAACCGCTTTTTTATTGTGTTTATTTTTATTACAAAAAAATAAGGTCTGCACAAAAAAAAGAGACAGCACATTTTCTTTTTATTCTGCGTTTTTCTTCATCGTTTGCGTGTGTTTTATTCTTTTTCTTTTGCTCTCACTCTTTCTATCTCTGGGTCTCTCATTCTCGTTCGCTTGTACTGAGCGAAGAAAAAAGTGTTTGGTGAGAGTAGAAAAAAAACCGAGAAGAACTTCTAACAGCGAACGCAACATCACACATACTCTGTGTAGCGAACGGGAATATGGGAAAGAAAACAGTGACCTCAGATCCCTCAGCACTCTATCGCAGCAGCAGAGGATCTTATTTTCATTTCGATATAATGTTTTTCTTTGCAAAACTTAAGCGCACATGCGAGTCCGTATGTGTATGTGTGTGTGTAAGACTCGTTGATAATATTTATTTCATCATTTCGCCTCATCGTATGGCAGCAAACGAACGAGTGAGCAAGTGAATGAACGAACAAGTCGAGTTGTGTGAGCCGAACGCGAAGCTAGGCAACCGTAGGTGCGATAGAGACAGCACAAGCCAACATGTTCCCTCTTTTTTCTCTCTCTCTCTCTCTCTCTCTCTCTCTCTCTCTCTCTCTCTCTCTCTCTATTCCTTTCATATTTTGTAACTGCTTTAATTCCACATTTATTCCACATCACTTTTATAAAATGCACACAGTTGTGTATTATTTCACTCGCTGCCACTGTGTTACCATGTTGGTTCTGTTTATGAATATTTTCTGTTATTTTATACGCGCTGCCTTTTTTCATCATTTCTTCCTTTCCCCCATCTCCCGTTCGCTTCGCTCACACATTCTCGGTTGCTTCACGTTGCGTTCATTTTATTGCTTATGCTGCTGTCGTTGCACTACATTTTTCTCATTGTTTTCGTTAGCTGCGTTTCATATTTCTCTGTATGTTCCGAGCAAGATGTGAGCTTTTTACACACATACACATGTAGTGCCTTCAGAATTCATCCGTCGATCTTGTTCCTTTTCCAGTTTGCCGTTCAACTGCGAGTGCGAGTGCGAAAAGTGGCTGCACATAAAAACATATATTACACACATACTATACGTAAAATTTGACACGAAAACTGTACAATGTTATGTTAAAGACGAGAGAATCGTAGATAAACTGACAGATCAGAGGCAGCCAAAGCATGTGAATGCACCGTGGAGTAAAGAGAAGAAGAAAAAACATAGAGTTTAACCTAACATTTAAAATAGACGATGATGATGATGATGATGATGATGATATTCATTTCACCATCAAACACGAAAGGGGAAACAAGTCTCTTGTTACTTATTCATTTACATATTGTATAAAAAGCGTTTTCATTCATTCCTTTTACTCATTCGTTTGTTGTCCTTTATATTTTTCTTCCCTTTGCATGTAATGCCATACCGTTGCGCCATGACGTGTGTTTCCATCTTTATTTGGTTGTCGTTTTTTTTTGCAACGCTCGACACAACCCTGGAACTTGGAATTTGGATTGGATTGGCTTGGTGCAAAAATAACATGATGATCATGTCTTCGCCGAAATACGACAATAAAACAACATGCAACGTATGAAACACAACTTCACCCACTCTCCAAAATAACGTAATCAACAACAACCACCCCGAACAACAATGACAACAACATCAACCAACTGAACCATTCGTTCACGAAACAAATACGACACACACAAAAAAAAACACGCCAACGCCACCCCGACCAAATTGAAAACAAAACGAAATTCAAACAGATACACCAGTTGTTACTCTCGAGTTTGGAACTAATTTAAATACATCCTTTATACGCGAGGGAGCCGATGTATATTTTGAGTGCAATATTAAATCAAACCCATGGGTGTATAAAGTCAGCTGGCGTCATAATGTAAGTTGATTATTGTTATTTAGTTTGTTATTAGGCAAAAACGGAAATCAGAAAACACATACACGCAGAGAGAGAGAGGGACACACGCAATCAGGACACAAAGTCATGCAGTAACAACGAGCAGACAAAAAAAAAACTAAAAATAAAACGGTGGCCGAGCAAACTATCCCAACGATGCCACCACAACAGAGCAGCAAAAATCCGGTGTGTATCAAGTCGTCGCACCACAAATTGCACGGACGATGCACATTTTATGCACACGCACACGCAGCAGCATACTTTGCGAACACTAGAGATAGACATCTCCATCAGCCGAATACAATGCATTGCATACACAAAACTAACACGAGCCACCACCACCACCAGCACCACCACCATCAGCCGCTAGCAGCCAAAGAATACTGTGTGACATCGACCAACGAGAATCGGCACCAGGACGACACAGACGTCCGAATCGAATGAGAAACGAAGAGAGAAAAATTTATGCGAGATAACAACCAACAGACCATCTAAAATTGCATCATCACAATGGAATAAAACATATATACATACCGAGCGGAGAGAGAGAAAGAAAAGAAAACACTAGAAAATACACACTCGAAATCGTTAAGTTCCGCTGAGCGCGTTTTTGGCGATTATTAAGCAGAATATATGATAACGTCTCATTTTGTCAAAAAGTTCACACGAGAAACAAACCCAGAGATACAACTCTAGTCTTCGTCGTCGTCGTCGTAGTCAGCGATGTCACTTGGTGCTGCCAAGCATTTAATTATTAGTTGTGTATGTGTGTGCATGCTTGTGATTTTGTTGCGATTTTTTCTTCTTCTTCTTCTTCTTCTTGTTCGCCCATGTTGTGCCGAAAAAGATTTTATGATAACAAATAAAAACAAAAGACAGATAAAGATATAAAGGAATTATCCGAAACTTTGACGCGAATCGTGTGGTCGAAAAATACGGCGTAATAATAGCAGATTATCTCATGAATGTGTTCGGATGTGCCGTATTTGATCGTTGAGCACAAAGCACAATGTTTTCGTTGATGATGATTATGATGAGGAGGATTTCTCGACGGCAACGGCATCGACAATGATGGTGGTGGAAGCGCCTAGGCGTTCGCTTTTCGACCGACACACACGCAAATATGTTGACTCAAGTTGAACAAATCGTGGCAAGAGAGCTGCTATGCCATGCTTTTGTGACAATATTGTGTTGACAGTTCTTTGGATTTACTTCTTTTTCAGCTGTTATTACTTTTTGTTGTTGTTGTCGTTATTTCCTAGAAATGTCACACTGCATCCGCTTTCATGGGAATCGTATTCGAAACAATACATTCACATACGTACAGGCTATGCCATACGCTAAAACTTCAATGGCATTGGCCATATATTTCAATTGTGAGTTGGGCATAAACAGTTTTCAGTGTAGCTGAGTGAATTCGCATCGTTTTGCACCTTCTGTTTTGGGTTTTGAATGTATGTGCGAGTGAGTGTTTGTTCCCAAAGACGATGTGCTAAGCTTTGAAATGTAATAAAGAACGGAAATGGAGCATGTTCGCTGTCCAAAACATACCAACGCTTGATATGTGTTATAGCTTTGGATCCAGAAATGATCAATTGAAGGATCGGTTAAGGCACTGCTTCGTTTTCACTATTCACCCAATGTTTACTCAACTTTGGTCGGTATTTGCCTCTTACCGGGTAGTGTATAGTATTTATATGTGTGCATGTGTGTAAAATAATGAAAATCCAGTGAGAAATGTATATCAGACGACACATTCGCACACACCCACATCCAGAAGTGAGAAAAAAATGAGTGAAGTTTGTTATTTTCTTTCATTCTTTTGTTTGTAAAAGCACACATACTCACATATCCACAAATCATAGCATGTGCACAATCTCTCACATACCAGAAGCACAGTGGATTTGCTTTGGCGCGTTCATTGCAAAGAAAGACTGTTATGACGACGACGACGACGACGACGACGAAGACGACACATTCTGGATCCGTACACCGCATAAGAAATTAAAACAAAAACTTATGCAATGGTCACAAAATATAGATGAGCTAGCGAACGAACGAACGAACGAACGAGTGTGTGTGTCGGTGGTGTGTTTGCGTAATGTTTGTTTGTACAGTATACCGAGTGCACGTAGTCACAAAAACTACTGCCACGAATTCCAATCTGCTTTCTCAAACAACAAACTCGGTTGTTTGTTTTTATATGGTTCTTTCTCTGTTACTTTTTTTGCCTCTTTCATTTTTTCTTTCAATTTTTTCTTTTTTTTCCTCGCCAGTTTAAACGTGTGTGTGTGTGTGTGTGTGTGTATGTGTATGTGTTCGAACAAGAAAGAGCTTGTGTACGAGAGTCGTGTGTAAGTTTTACTTTTCCTTTGGTCGAGTTGCCATTATTCGTATCCAGTTTTGGAGAGGTTACTTTTTTTACAACTTATAGTTGTTTTTTTCTTTCTCTTCTTTCACTAGACATTTCTTTCGTTCGTTTATTCGTCGGTTCGTTTTGAATATGTGAGCGGACACGTTTTATATATATTGGGACGCGCGCGCGCGTTGCATTTCAAAAATGGTTAATGCGTACATACATCATTTTGTTGATCGCATAAACTGCTTGAAATTTTCATCAGTGAATCATTTGTCGTTGGCGTTTTTGTTGCGATTCTCATTCGTTCATTTTATTGCGAGAGAGAGAGAGAGAGAGAGAGAGAGAGAGAGAGAGAGAGAGGGCGAGTATATATATGTGTGTGTATGTGCTCTAGCTCCCACTCGCCTTCGGTTTCTTTGACTAGAGTTTTTTTTTCTCCTTCATCCCCTGGCCTAGGATATTCTTTTCTTCAGCGTGCGTTTTGTATGTGTAGTTTTTTTTGTAATCGTTGCCGTTTTTTTTTATTTCGTTCGTTCGTTGGTTCGTTTGTACGTTTGTTCTTTCTACTCTTTTTTTGTGTGTTTGTGTGTGATACGTTCAATTTCCAAGTGTTTGCTTTACATTGCCTGAGATTTGAATATAAGAGAGAGATAGAGTGAAAGAGGGCATAAAGAGCTGTTGCCCCGACACCCAGCTATCCAATTCAAAAGTTGCCACCAGAGTTGTATTTGGTTTCTCTGTTCTTTTTTTGCTACTTTTTCGCTTCAACGGCGCGAAACGGCAGCGACAGCGCCCATTTTTACACAACAGCCCTCTTCATTCAAGGGAAGATGAGTTGAGTCAGAGAGAAAGAAGCACACGTATAGATAAACATTTGCCTCGTTCATTGTTCATTCACCATAGTGTGTTTATATTTTTGCTCTTATCCATTCCCGATGCTTTATTATTCCAACCAGCGACAATCGCGCGTTCGGACGACGACAACGATGATGACGACGACACCGACACCAGTAGCAGCAGCAGCAACCACAGCCAAGAGAGAGAGAGAGAGAGATTGAGAAAGAGTACTTCAGAACCATGTTCATTTTTCTTCACTTGTAACTTTGCCCTTGTTCTGTGCCACTGCTGCTGCCGCTGCTTGCTTATCAAGTCGGTTTGTCTCATCTTTCTCGATCCAACTACTGTGCTCTTCTTCATCTTCATCTTCATCTTTTTCCATCGTCTTCTTTCTATCGTTAGTTTCATTTTTGTTCTCGTCTTTTTTTTCTCGCTTTTATTTATTGCCTCATTCGCTTTTCCCCAACGCTATTAACAAGCTCACAACAACGAAATGCTTAACTGCATGTTTAAGAAGAATGTTTAAGAATGCAAACCACAAACGCACACAAATTTCAATAAATATTCAATGCAGAGATGCGAGAAGCATCGACAAATGTACAACAAAGCAACCAACAGCAACAAATATACCATACTCGTTCACTCATTCACTTACACACAGACAATCTCGATCTACGGAGTGACACAACAAACATCCGATCAAACAATGAAAACAATATTTTGCTGTTGTGACGGAGCCACCAAGACGCAACGAGTGAATGAGTGAACGAGCAAACGAGTAATGGCGATGGCATGATAACGAAAATGAGCGCCGTTTTCTATCAATAGAAGAAGGTTTATCATTGATTGAAACCAATCCAAAATGCTCATTCATTAATTCATTGCATTGATTGCAAAGAAATGCGCACAGTAACGGCACGGTTGGGCGAGGTGAGGCGGGAACGTTTACACCATCACACAGCTTTTGTAACATTGATTCAACCGCTTTAACAACACTTTTTTTCTCTCTTTTTCATCTTGACTATCATTTCGTTTTTATCTTGGCCACATTTTTTTCATTCTTGCTCTGTTAGTTTTACTTGCACAACGCACACATACTACACCGCACGCAGCGTGTTTGTGTATCCAGACATTTTTGTTCACACGAAACTTTGCGCTCGTTGGTTTGGAATTCTTTAATCGATTTTGAACGCTTCAGCTCAATACTTAAAAGAGATTAATCCAAAAATAATTACAAAAAGCTTCCTTCTGAGAAGGTCGGTTTGCCGTCATCGCTGTCGTTGTTCAACAAAAACCAGAAAAAAAAGATTGCTTACACAATGTTCATGTTAAATTCATTTTTGCTTTTCGGCAAGCATTCATGCGATGTGAACAATGAAATGTTAAATATTAATTATTGCTGTCAGCAGATGCAAACGATATGACTTGAATTAATTTTTTTCTCTCCAGAAAAATGTCAAGATTCGTTTTATTTCCTACGTGACCAATACAGCGGTACTTTGGTTTGGTTTTTCAAAAAAAAAAGAAGGGATTTTCAGATTATGATAAAAGCAAATAGGAAGAGAACGAAAAAAAATTAGTCATGAAAACGATGAATTTATCCTTAAAATCGGGGAGCTTTGTTCAAAATCTCCGTTGTTGCTTCTTTTTTTTACCTCGGCTTTACTTGTGAAATTGATGCGAACAACAAAACAGCAATGGAAAGGGCAAAAGGAACGGCGTGGAGATTGGAATATTGCAGTCTTAAGACGAAAGGTGTGTGGATTAGTACACATCTGACAAGAAC